ACTTCGTCTTTTGAACTATCTTCATCACCAATATTGATGATCAACTTAGTCTTTTCAACAATTGTATCGGCTCCTCCTCCCCCCCCCCCCCCGCCCCCCCGCGCGGGGGAGCCGCGCCCCCCCGCGCCCGCGCTTGCCTCGTGGGTTTATCGAAGCGGAGTTTTCTTACTCGTGTGCGTGTTGTTTAGAATGATGTGTGAGCTTCAGATATTGAGATTTGAGGAGTTTCACAAGTTGTTTGAATTGGGCGGCGTGGCGGCAGCCGAGGAGGACGAGGCGGCGGCGGTGATGTTTAGAGAGCATGTGAGGATAAGGAAGTTTTTGAAAGCTACAAGTCATAGGTATAGAATATTTATAATCGGGTCTTTCGTGACCATAACGGCTAGTCAGTTGGGAGCTTTGGTGATGGTGTTGGCTGCCAAAGGTGACAAGAATTCCTGCAATTCAGGAGATCTCGTGGTAATTATAAAATTCATTAATCTACTTAACGAGAAATAGTACGTGTGGTTGATGACATGAATAGCATTATGACGTTGTTAAACTCACGGTACAGTGTGGTGCGACCCACGTCATCATTTGCATGTCTAATTAACTAGACGCAATATTTTCAAAATTTATATCAATTTGCATATCAAATAAATAGAAGTTTATAAAAGCGTATCAAAATTTATGCATGCAGAAATGATCACATAATCTCCATATAAAAATTGAAAATTTATATGCATACCACACAAGTCTTATATATTTACATATCTAGCTTTCATAATTTGATATTTACATTTATAACCCCCATCATGTAATAACAGGTAAGCTCGGCGGTTCAACTTACCGGTTTTTTGATGTGTTTATTTGGAGCGGCGAGGATAACCCACAGAGCACAGAGAGTGGTCTCCATTGCAACCCAATGGCATATGGTAATGTCCTCCTCACCAGCCAACAAATTAGACCTGAGCGTCAATCTTGATGAATCCGACGGTGAGGATTGCGAGGCTAAAGTTTCTTCTCTTCAACCTTCGCTTTGCCAAATATGTTCCACGTTCGAGTCACGACAAGCTTTAGGTATGAATTTAGTTTAGATATTTTGTTGTTTTTGTGTTTCAGTCCATATTTTTTGAGAACGATTTAGGGCCCGTTTGGGGCAGCTTATAAGTGCGGGCAGTGCCCTACCGTTTGGTTTGCGCGTTTCGCCAACTTATCTGGAGCCACGTTTGGATTTTACACTAAAGGCAGGTCGCGGGCCACGTTTCGCTTATCCTGAAACGCACATGTTGCCCCAAACGCAATATATATCACTTAATCCATTTGTTTAGATATATATCACTTTTTAAGAGTTAAACTAATAATATTTTTTTATAAGATGTAAAAATTTTTTGATGATATAAATATAAAAAATAAAGTTTTGGTGTAATATAAAAAAATTGGATTATGAATGCATATGCCCCTTTTTTAATTAATGCTATAACAAAAAATCTCAATTTTGTATATAATTTAGAAATTTTAGGGATTAATTTCACTATTTATTATTTATTTTTTTATATTTAATTTGAAATAACATCTATTTATTCATTTATTAGAAACAGATAAAATACTTGAAAATTTATTTTTAGAGATTTTAAAAATAAATTAATTTTTTTAAGAAAATAAAAATAAAAATAAGAAAATAATATGTTACAAATATATTTTAATAAATAAGTAAATAAATATTAATAATAATAATAGGATAAAAATATCTTTATAAGATTATTTAAGTACATTTTGTTTAACGGGAAATCAACATTATTATATAACATGGAACGTGCTTTATTTTGGGATAATTACGTAAAATAGAGTTTAAATTAAATTAATTTTAATTTGTCTGGACAAGTTCCATATTAAAATAGGTTTAAAATTTTTGCATAAGTGTATCTAATCTGAACATAATGCACGTATCGATGACATTATCGTCAGCTACACAAAAAAGATTACGTGCATACATGGTATATACGTATTTGATAGGTTATGACTGTATTCACTATAATGTCATCATAATACCACCAATCTGCACATATTATTTATTCTAGAACTACATAATATTATGAAAATTTTTAATAAATATAAAAAAATTGTTATGTGAATTATCATTATTTAATATGTACAAGATAAAAAGATATATAAAATGTATAAGAATAAATTTAAACAAAGAGGGGGTATTTAGATACATACTACTCAATTATTATGTATTTACATGTCTAATAACTATACATACATTTACATTTATACCACCTAGGTATTTCATATAACATAAAAAATATCACAATTTTTATTTCCAAAATATGAAAAATATTTTTGCATGCATATCTAATATGACGTATATGTAAAAATTGAATTTTGGATATTAGATCTGTAAATACATAAGAATTCATTAGTAAGTAAAATATTTTAAAAAGATGGTAGATAAGAAGGCTTACTGATGAAGGATTTTGTTAAAAAAAACAAATGTTTTTGTGTATAAGCTTAATTTGACAAGTGATATGAAATATTGCAGTGACATATTTGCAACACAATGGTGGGGGGATCACATTATTTGGTTTTGCTCTGGACAGGGGTTTGCTTCACACACTCTTCGCATTTGAGATGACTCTGGTTTTGTGGATCTTGAGCAAAGTTGTTGTTCTCTCTTAATTAATAATATATTTTATCATGTATACCTATGTAATACTTGTTATGATTCAAATTACATGTCTTGAAATCATTCTTGAATTTTCTTTATTTGAAGGCTTGTTTCTAATACCAAATAATAATAATGATGATGATAATGTATGCAAAAATACGATTGAATAGGATTTTTTTCATGTTTTTGAGCTCACACCTGCAAAATTGGTTGAATTAAGTGATCTATGGAAGTGGTTGGATTCATCTCTTTCACTGATGGGGAGCAACTTAGTCCTCTAGAAAGATACACCTATTGGGGATGGTCATCATGACCAACATTGACACAGGTCCAATTATTTTTACAAGCATCATCTGACATCTAGGTCACAGTCTTTTCATCAAGTCAACAAGGATGAGAATCATATATTACTAAATATATTTTTTATAATTATTCTTCTTTGTATAAAAAGAGAGTAAAGCTAAGAGAGAGACTTCTCTTTTCTCGAGAATTTATGGGTTTTTAAGGATTTCTCTTTTTCTCTCTCTCCCTAAAAACCTTGTAGCTCAAAAAATCTTCGTCGAGCCCGATATTTAGCTTACTGGAGGCTTGAGTTCAGTAAATGATATTCGAGACCTCTCAAGGGTCTTAGGTCCTTCTCTCTCTTCTATTTTTCTTCTAAAAAATAGCATATTTAATTGGTTGTATGTACTCAAGAGCGATACAGAACCCTGCATCTTAAAATGATTCAATATTCTGAAATGTGCGATGAGTGTAAAGTTCATACTCAAAATCTATAATGAGACTTCTTCATAAAAATAAAGATGAATGAGGACTATGTATTATACCGAAGAGTTCATGATGCAACAGATCAATGAGTTAAGAGAACAAGTTTTGAAGGTCATACAAAATGTGAAAGAAGCATCCAGATCTCGTTCTCAAACTAAGCCCATAACTCACATTGGATTGTCGAGATCTGTGGCTCTCATGTAAGAACCAGCAAGGCAAGGTTAGCCTCCACAAAACTTGTTGAGAGCCAGACTAAGGAGGACTCTAGACCCTATTCTTGAACAAGGAGCAGAAAGAAATGAATTTGATCATCGAAAATAAGGATAGCACACTGCAACCTCAACTAGAGAAGAAAAAAGAAGAAGAAGAAGCAGAAGCATTATGATGAAGAAACCAGGTGAGAAAGAAAATAGCAAAGACTGAGAGAGAACGCATTTTCAAGCTGCAACACATGTTTTGAATATTAAACTTTGATTCAAAGCCAAAATTTTGTCCAATGGGGTGCTTAACCTTAAAGTTTAAATGGCCCTAATGCGTTTAATGGATGAACTATTCAAAAAGAAAAGAGGAGGAATGACATCTGATGTACATGAATAGTTTACCTAAGTTCACATAATGTTTTATAGTTTATTTTAATTTTTATAGTTTTTTTTTTTCTTTAGAATTGAAAAAGCCTTATTCTTGAAGCCTACCATTCAGACCCGTTTAAGCTCAAATACTAGAATAAACTTAGCAAAAAACATAATTTCTAGTATTTTGGAATAATTAAATATAACAAGAAATACAAGTAATCTAAAACAATATAATAAAACAAAGGCCGGTGTGGCCAGATACAGTGGTGCACCTTAGAAAAAGATAAAAACATGCAACCAAGTTATGCTCTTATTTAATCCAACCGAATAAAATTGAGGGTTGTCTTTTGGGTCTTCTCTAGCATGTTATTTGCTTTCTTTTTTATCATTCTACAAGTCCTCCAAGTATCATGAGGTCTCCTCAAGTGCGGAGCAGCTCATCCTCGCTCATCTTGATCCTATGGGCCTTCTACTTAGTATTACTTAAAATTATAGTTTCAAAATAAATAAATAAATAAATAACTTAATTAAACCTAATAAACATAGTCAATAAACATGCATGTTTATTTTGTATTCAAAAGAAATACTCACATAGCCTAACAACTATTTGTGTCAAGGCCTGTCTTATTAGTCATGTTTAAGGGCAATAGAACCTTCAAGAAAACCTTTTAGATTTTAAATTACTTGACATTAAATCTACCTTGCTAATGACCATAGGCAGAAGGCATATGTAAGATGTATTGAATTATATGCCTAACAACCAATCAAATCTATAATAGTTATCACATAAAATTCACATCAATATATATAACATCATAAAAAAAAACACAACAATGAAAAATAAATAATCAAAATAACTCCTGCCCAAATCTAGATTAGCAATCACACAAGCACAAGTTTAGCATGTGAGATGGTGTTTTGACTCTAATGGAGATTATCATTTCTTTTTTTATTTGAGTTAATGTTTCTTTTTTTTACCCATTTTCTAATTTCAATTTAAGTGATTATAATTTTGATAGCAAGTTTAAGCCTTCATTATTTTTAAATTTGGATTTTATTTTATTGAACGTTTTAAAGAATGTTAAGGCTAGTGAGACTAACCTGAAGGTGGGCCTAATCATCCCTAACACTTAAAGACTCAGTATGTTGCACACCCCAATAAGGATGGAGTGGTAGCCTATGATTTTTAAGAGATGATTTAAGTTTAATTATTTTACATTATCTTCTATTTTAAATTGACTTTTAATTTTTAAATTGACTTTTAATTATAATAGTTATCTTTATTATTTTTATAATTAACTTTAAATAGATTTTTAATTTTATTCAAATCCAATGAATCAAGATATAATTTTGGGAATTGTTCTTATAAGATGAAGTTAATTTAAATTATTAGATTTATTATTAACTTTTAATTCATGTTTATACAAAACTTTAAAGTAAAACCAAAATATCTTTACAAATTATGAAAATATGTTATGTGGTCAAGGATGACTAGAGAATATTCTTATAAAAAATTTAGAATCATAGCAATATTAAGTCATTACATTTAGAATATATCTTGTAAGAATGCAATTTCACAAATACTATTTGCCTATATACTTGAGAAAATGTTTGATGCACCCTACTTGCTCTATTTGTACTCTTGTGATATCCTTAGATAGCAATATATTTTCATGTATGCATTGCTAAAATTCAGTGAAATCAAGATCCAAGTAAAGTAAATAACATATCATTTTTATTGCACAAAATCACATTCAACAAACATACATCTCTAAGTTTTTTATAAATCCAAAGGTGAAGCTCATTTCCTATGCATTGCCATGACAAAAGAGAAAATACACAAAAGTGACATAAAAAACTACACAAAGATAAGAAAATATAGAAAAATAAAATTAGGTCTTTAATCATGACTCTAATCCTATTTTTCCTCCTTTCTTGTGCAACCTTGTCTTTTGAAATATTCTCCTTGTTGCACACACACACTCACACACTAAGTTACTCGACAAAACACTCTTACACACTCTATAATCTCCTTTTCTAGCAAGCTAGACTCTCCCTTATCCCTTACACCTATCCTCACAACATAAACTCTCTAAAATTGCTAGAAAACCCCCAAATTAGCTTTAAATTTTCATATGAACTAAATTAAACCAACATTATAATGTCAAGATTTGGATCTGCACTGTTGTACTATCTACCTTATGCATTGAAATATGCTCCAACTAGCACTGAGGCACAAAACTTTAGTGATGTGATGCCAAATCATTTAATGTTATGGCATTATGATGCCAAAAGATAGTGTTCTAACACTAAGATCTTAGGTTGTAGTTTATCTTTATTCATCACCAAAAACACTCCTTTAAAAGTTCTCCAACTATCTTAACTGTCTCACTTATAAAAATTTCTATACCTAACAACTTAATTAGTTTAGATAAATAATGCAAAATACTTAATTTTAAATATTATTTTAGTTCACTTATCTCACTCAATAGATGACAAGATGCTCTCACCTTCAATGAGGTGAGATGCAATTAAGCTTCAATAGAACTGGGTTGACGTGAGTTAATTTTTTGGAGTAATCACCATTCAGCCTTACACAAATCACTAATGAAATATGCAACTGTCTGAGCTAAAAATAAAGAATCTATGGTATCTTTTAGTTGCTAAGGAAGTAAGGAAGCTTAATGATGCATTATATACATAGAATATCAACTACCTTTAATTTTCCTCTCCTAGCCAAGCTTATATGATGAGTTTTTAAAGACTCTCCTTCTCCAGCTACAAGATCATCAGCTTCAGAGAACAAGGGTGAGAACAAGGGTGATATTAGGCTCCAATTATAGAAGTAATTGGCTCAAATCTTTTGGAAAGCCACTACTAGTTAGTTGTACTTATGTTTTTCCATTTAATAATGATATTAACCCTTTGGCTATTGATAGTTAATGGGTTTACCATAGCTTAATGATATTGTGTTTTTTATATGATGTTGTTAACTAATTAAGAGAATTTATTGATATAATTAATTTTATCAATTAAGATGATAAGTTTATTTAATTCTCAGATTGTTTTAATTGGATCACATTGAACTATCAAATCCAATATTGACTTAATTAATGATGTTAAGAAGCAAATAACATTAATGGTTTTAATGTTAAGAAGCTAATTTTAAATTATTTGCTAATAAGTAAAAAAGATTTCCACTTAATGGTTTTAGTTGTTTTGACCATTTCAATATATTTGGTTAATTATAATGGAGATGTCAACTTAATGAGATCCATTAGACTCAAGGATCCATTAGACTCAATTTGGCCATTGATATTTACTTGATCGCCTTTACTATGTTAGGGCTAGTTTGGGTCTAAGTGTATTCAGCTCATCAATTGGTTATCTCAGAGAGATTAATTGGAACCTTAAGAGGTCTTATCGTAAACTTTTTAATTTACTAAGAGATTCTTAGTATTCAATGGTCAGATCACGAATAGTACAAGACAATATAGAGCACAATACTTATATTTTTCCCTAAGAAAAGAGATGAAAAATCCTTCCAAAAGGTTTCTAAGTGCTCCCTGCAATGCTGAGTATATCCCCTTACAGAATTCTCTCAAATTCTTCTCCAACCTCCCTAATAAAGTGGAAAACACCAAATCCTAACTTTACACTGCTACTTGTCT